TTCAGAGGAATAAGGGACCTTTTGGAAAAGGCTTTATTTTCCGAAAGATCCCCGTCTAGACTGGCGCTTTTCTCCGGCAAAGCCCCGAGTCGGAAAAAAGCGGCAGCCATGTTTATACAAATGAAGCGGGGGATATTTAAATCCCCCACTTCATTTGCAATTCCGACTTGTCTCATCTGCATCCCTTTTCCGGAAAAGGGGTCCAGTGTAGACACAGCCTTAGGGAAGAAAAAAAGTCAAATGCATAATTACAAAATGGGGAATAACTGGGTAGGTGGTACTTTTGCTGAAATAGTAATGTCATCAGATCTGGGGTTGTAGTGGAACACAAATATGAGTCAACAGTGTGATTCACTTGCAAAAAAGGCTAATATCATTCTGGAGTGTATTAGCAGGAGTGTTGTATGTAAGACAGAGGAGGTTATTGTCACACTGTATGCAGCAGTGGTGAGGCCTCAGCTGGAATATTGTCTTTAGTAAAGATGTAAACCACTTGGAGAGAGTCCAGAAGAGAGCAACGAAAGTGATGGATGGCTTGAGAGGCTGGAAAATGATAAAATACAGGAAGAATCTGATCTGAAACAGTCAAATGAAAAAGAATCCCATTCAATCGCATTTTGTAATGACAGACGGCTAAAAAGTGACAAGTTTTTAAAGTGCTAATCTACAAACACTAATCTAAATAATAAGATGGGTGACCTAGAGTGACTCTCATTAAATGACGATATTGATATAATAAGTATCACAGAAACTTGGTGGATTGAGGATAATCAATGGGACACAGTAATACCAAGATACAAAATATATTGGAAGGACAGAACAAGTCATGCAGGTGGGGGAGTAGCACTATAGGTATAAGAGGTAGTATCTTAGAATGACCAACTCACTGGTTTACCCCCATGTCTTGCAGGACGAGGACCAAATCCGATATCACATTGTGTTGGAGGAAAAGCTCTTGAAGAATGACATGCACAATGGCATGCACCGGGAAACCATGCTTGGGTTTTCCTATCAAGTGGGATTCTTCCTTCAAAATGGCCAGGTGCTGCAGTCTGTGTTTAAATGCAGAAAACTGTTTTCTTCACTATAGAAAAGAAATTTGTATCTTAAATTGAAAAGCATGCAGCAAGACCTATATTCTGACACCTTAATATTACAAAAGTTCCCACTCAAATGTGCTATTGAGTTTCCCAACAGTCAAGACAAAGCTTGCTCAATTCAAAGTCAAACGAGAAGGGATCTTTGACTGGATTTAAATTACACTGTTCAGATTTAGCATTGTATTTTACAAGACTATATGATGGTCTCATACACCTAGCTGTTGACTAGATACCTTCATTGCAAAGCAATTGTTAATACTATTTCCACCAGCTTTTCTGGAGATTCTCTTTTAATTTTAAAAATAGTACTAATATTAATTTGTAGTTTTATACCTGCTTTTATACCAGGAGCTCAGAGCATGTTGCAGTACAGGTTGAAACTCTTTAGTCCGGCATTCTCTGGTCTGGCAACATCCCTGGGCCTGCATGACTTTAGCTAGCTGGATGTCTACTTATCATGGATGTGACCAAGTTTCCTGTGAGCCCATAATGTTTATTTACAGCCACCCGTCCTGGCTCTCAATGTTCTGTGCTGTTATTTAGCTCTCATTTATCCCTAAATGTCTTCTAATTGCCTAGAAAGTAGTAGTAGTAATGCTGGTAATGCTGCTAGACAATATTGACCTCCCATGGTCTGGCAAATTCTCTGGTTCAGCACTAGTTAGGTCCTGAGAGTGTCAGGCTAGAGAGGTTCAGCCTGTATTAGTGAATTTATTCTCACAATACCCTTTCTTCTCATAAGGAATCTAAGGGACAGGACAGGCCCAAATCTGTGGCATAACCAGAAAAACGGTGCTCTTTGCTCATGGCTTTATTCTCTAGTCATACTATCCTTTATGCAGTGGCCCTAATTCTGCAGAGTACTCAAGTACATCAGTAGGACATAAGCATATTACTAAAGCTGACCACATCCTTATGTGGTTTGTTGAATAGGGATGGTGTGAAGAATTGAAGATGTTATGTTGCTCCTTTTTCCATGGCCACACCTGAGCATTCTTTCAGTCTGGGACTTCCTTGGGCAATATTTTTTGCTGTAGTCCCCAGCAGAGTTTCTTTCATCTGTCAAGTCAGTACTACAGTTGTGTAGGTCAGCTGGTCCATTGCATTTTAACTGAGTGCATTTCCTTTACAGCTTTACATAAATGAGGCACCTATAAATTACACAAATATTGCAACTGACAAGGGGGTTATCCATGGATTGGGAAAAATTCTGGAAATCCAGAAGAACAGATGTGATATCAATGATACTGTGATTACAACCGTAAGTTGTCTTGTTTGAGATTGGTGCTTTGACATTTGTCATAGATGTTTGCACAAAAATATAACTAAAGCATATGACACATGCTGCATTGTATTGGCCAGGCAGAAATGTTAGAATTTTCCACAATAAACTCCTGCAGTAGCTTCGATATCATATAAAAATTACTTTGATTCTGCAGTCAGTAGAGTAACAGCTTGAACACAATAACAGCATCACAGTAGTAAATAAATCTGGCTGTCTTGGTCAGATTTCAGTACATCAGTAAGGGTACACATTAACCCACTGCTTTCATAAACACCAATTGGGTTTGTCCACTTTTGCTTAGTGAAAATAACTTCCTAACAAAACTTTATACGGGAGAGAAGTTGCTCTTTCTATTCTGAGATGCAAATTCTTTCTACACATATCGGCTACGTCTACACTGGCCCCTTTTTCGAAAGGGGCATGCTAATTTTAAACTTTGGAATAGGAAAATCCACGGGGGATTTAAATATCCCCCGCGGGATTTAAATAAAGATGGCCGCCGCTTTTTTCCGGCTTGGGGAAAAGCCTGAAAAAAGCGTCTAGACTGGCCCAATCCTCTGGAATAAAGCCCTATTCCGGAGGATCTCTTATTCCTACTTCAAATAAGAGATCCTCCGGAATAGGGCTTTATTCCAGAGGATTGGGCCAGTCTAGACGCTTTTTTCCGGCTTTTCTACAAGCCGGAAAAAAGCGTCGGACATCTTTATTTAAATCCCGCGGGGGATATTTAAATACCCCGCGGATTTCCCTATTACGACCTGTAAAATTAACATGCCCCTTTCGGAAAAGGGGCCAGTGTAGACGTAGCCTATATGATGTTACTTAATACTTCTGTAATATAATGCATGACTGGCATGTCTTGTGGTGTCCCAGGAGCCAGGCCCAGGGCAGCTCCCCTATTACAGGCCCTGGCCCTTCCCTGCCTCTGCTCCCATCTGCCCACCCCCGCTGCACCCCTTCAACCAAACCCTGCCCCTGCTCTGCTCTCTCCTGCCCCCCTTGCCCAAAACCCCCTCCCACAAGCAATGCAAACTGGGGTATTACAGGGGACCTGGCATGGAGCAGCAGCAGGGGGCAGCCTCTCTCCTACTGCAATCACTGTGGCGGCGGGAGACTGAGCCCCCCGGCAGCTTACTCCACTCCGTCCCATCACTATTGCGGCCTGCTCTGCTCTGTTTCATCACGAGGTGGGGCAGAGTGGAGGGAAGCAGGCTGCCAGGATACTACCTCCTGCCACCATGGTGAGTGGGGGGGGAGGGGTGACCCCTTCTGCCACTCTGTGCTAGGCCCCATCCATAGTTCAGTGCTGTCATGGGACCCCACAAAGTGCAGGGCCTGGGGAGGCTGCCCCAAAGCTGTCCTATAGACAGGATGGCTCTGATGAAGCCTTCCCCTTGCATTCTTCACATAAATCAGACCAATCCACAAACTGCAATGACCAGTGCTTAAATTGTAAAGAAAGAAGGGCTGGGGCTGAAGCAATCTTTTTACTCACCACCGAGGCAGCAAGCCCAGACATGCCAATGCTATGAACTGCCAAGTTTGGCTGTTGGAAGAAGCGCTGGGGCTCAGCGCTGACAAGCCCTGGCACAAATTAAGCACTGGCTCTGGAGAACACACTGTGGTTTTCCATGGGGCTGGCAGTCAATGGTTCTCTTGATGGAGAGGCAAATAGGACTGCCCATAGATTGTTCACTTTGTTCTTAAGACTGGCGCAGCTCAGAAATTAGACTTGAAAAAGGCATTTTACTCTGCAAGCTTTGTGCTCTGTCCTGTTCAGATTTTGCTTTGGGGCTTCTGTTGTTTGCCTTGGGAGGCAATTGCACAAACTAGCACATTTTGCTGTCAGGCAAATGTTTCTAGTCTCCTACTTTTCCCTATGCTCAGCCTTACGCCTAGATTCCTCAGTATATACACTTGAATCTCCCTAGAAAACTTCCCCCAACTAGGGCCCTGATTCAGCAAAGCACTTAAGCATGTCCTTATGTCCCTTTGAAGTCAATGGGATGTAAGCATGTGTATAACTGAACAGGAGTGATGTCAAGCATGTACTTAAACACACGCTTAAGTGCTTTGATGAAGCAGGGTTTAGGTGCATAGTTGACTCTTCACCCACAGGGTTTTCCCCTGTGAGAGTGGAATCAATCCCTAACTGCCTTACTAAGACAGCTCGCCCTTCCACTTGTGCGGTTTAATTACTATTATGTTGCAGACAGAGCCAGAGACCAGAATCTGCCCCCTAATATTATTGCTATGAAGAGCTCTTTGGGATGGGTTTCCTTTGGAACAAGATATTCCTTTGGCTGTTGGAAATGCTGCAGAGCCTTTATACTTCTCCACAAGGAGAAGTCTTGGTGGGAACCTTCCTGTTGGAAATCCCTACATTTCTGCTGTGATGTGCACCCACTCCAGCTGCCGTGATAGTCTTTGATATTTAGTTTTCCAAAGTGAGAATCTTTCACTTGTTATAACTCCTGACTCACCCAAGGGCTGGGAATAGAAACTGACTGAAACAATCTGCAGTGGTGTAAACCTTTAACTGTATCCTGTCTGTGTTTGCCAGGAAAAGTGCACTCTGTGTTTGTATCGATCACGCTGCCCTCCTGGAACGAAAGAATTTGTAAGTATTTTATAATTAATCCTAAATGCACATCATTTGTATCACTTGCAATACAAAATACAGAGAGATTTTAATAGGCCAAGTTTACCCCTAATATAACCCCATTAATGTCAATGGAATTACATCAGTGAATTTGACCCTATTAGTTTATTTTAATCAGACTCAACAGCTCTGATGCTTGAATCCAGCTGAGCCATTCTTGGCTCAGGCTCCAGGACGGGGGAATCAAGGTAATTTAAAGATATTTTTTATGCTGCTTCAATCCCTGAGGCAGCTGGGAGCCAGTTCAAACCCTAGTACACTTTAGAGCCACCACAAGACTTCTCGAAAGGGTTTGCTCTACTCCCTCCCAGCACCTACATTGTGTGGGAGACCGGAAATAGAACAGAGCCCACTATACTGACTCTGTGCCAGCTGGGGAATGTTCCAAGCAAGAGAAAGCCCTATTGTGCATGGTTGGTTTTCTTTTGTTGTTGTTTTGTTTGGTTTTTTGGTTTTGGCCCATTTATGCCATGAGAGTGGAGGAAAGAGGCACATGATCTGCACCATGTGAGGGAATAATGTTACAGTGTTTTGACTGTTTAATGAGAAACTCTTATCTCTTCCATCACCCAGATATCAGTTTCCTAGACACTTCATTTTCTGTCCAGTGAGGATAGGTCTATGGCAAGAAAATATCCTTAGGAAGTCAAATAGTCACTAGGAATCATATCATCCTTGGATTTTTATGGGCAAATTCCTCTTTATGGTTAAGTTAAAACTGGGTTGATTTAGGGAATCTAGATTAAGTATATGTATGTTTTCCTATATATTTATTTATTTATTATTCCAATAACGTGATCACAAAATCTACACAATTACTGTTAACTTTCCTCCATTCAGAGAATTGGTTAGCAAAATCCTACTAAAATAATGATGGACAAATTTTGAGAATTATGGCAATTCAGTTCTAATAAATATCCAGTCATCTGCGTATTTATCTGAACTCCTTGGAACTACAAACTCAGGCTGTCTGTCTTATTAGAACAAGCTTTCCCAAGATTTGTAGCATTTCCTGTTTCTGTCCAGGTTTAGAATAATGAAAGAACAGCCATTTTCACAGTATTTTGGCACATCCTTTTCCAGAAACATCTAGGAAGTGCAGAAAAATGCCAGAAAAGAAAAAATAAAGAACAGAAGAAATGATATTTTCAAATAGCTTTCAGTTTAAATTGTGGACAAAGATGACTAATTTTAAATTGAAGTGATTTGCCCGGTGGCACTTGGCTAAATTGACTGTAAATTATTAAGCTAATTATCTGCCTACTTTATTTTTACACAGAGAATATTTTCTTAGTATATGATATGAATTTATTTACCACTAAGGGCTGACTGTGGATGCCTGGAGTATATTGTTTACACAAAGTTGATACCATTGTTAAATGTCTAAAAATAGTTGTGCGATATTAAACACTGAAGCAGTTATCTTGCAAACTTTTGCACAGCTAGGAGAGAAGAAATATTGCATCTATACTGAAAATTTTTTTGGAAGGACATCCATCCATATTGGGTGCCAGCCTAAATGTATTAAAACTATCATTGTAAGTATTATTAATCATTGTTATTTATTATGGGCATGTCTACACTGGGAAACTATTTCAAAATAACTAAATTCAAAATAACTCCCTAAATAAGAAAATCAAAATAGCATGTCTCCACTACGGGGGAGCTCAGAAATTACTCTGTGGCAGGCTCTGTTAATTGGACATGCTACTTCGACTTAAAGCCCCAGGAAACACTGGGGAGTAATTATTTTGAAATAGCAGCAGTGGAACATCCACACTAATTCTATGCTGAAATAAGTATTATTCCCAAGGAAAGCAGGAGTACAGATTTTTAAATAAACAGCCCCATATTTCAAAATAACAGGGTTGGTAGTGCAGATGCTCCACTTATTATTTCAAAATGTATTATATATATAAACTTATTATAATTTCAAAATAACTCCCTAGTATAGACCAGGGCTATGTGTTTTATGGCAGTACTAGGAGCCCCAGGCATGGTCCAAGACCCCACTGTGCCAGGCACTGTACAAACACAGTACAAAAAGGAAGTCCCAGCCCCAGGAATTAATGACTTTCTAAGTAGGCCTCTTAATAAAATAGCTTACAGTTATGGGGAGTGATCAGAAGTTTAATAGGGCAGGTTAAAAAATTTTCATTGAAAGTTTTCTGTCAGAAAATGCTGTCACAAAATTAGAGATTTTAATTTTTTTTTAAACTGAAAAAACCGTTTTGGAAATGGCAAGTGATCCAATTGTGATATTTTCACAACCGAAAGCTTTGATTTTTTTTCATTTGGAAAAAATGTTTTGTTTTATATTTTACTTTATTTTATATTTTTTAAATTACATGTACAAAGGATGAAATGTGAAGTAAAACATTCTGAATTTATCAAAACAGAACATTTTATATGACAAAAAATTTTTTTGTTTTTTCTGAGGATTTTTGTTGGGAAAAAAAATCAAATTTTGCCTTTTCTTCCCAATTCGGGGCTATTCTTTTCCTCAGATGTCCTGTGAAATATATTTCAAGTTAGCAAATCCATTTTCCTGGCCAACTCCAAGTTTAAGAGGGGGCCGACAGTTTCAAGAGTTCAGCACTGTGGTACTGTGCAGGAATAGGGAAGGGGAGCAGAGGTTACAGTACAGGTACCTCTTCAAACCTTCTCCACCCAGCAACCACTATACCCAGTGCACTGTGGGGAACTAGTTGGGCACACTCCCCACTAGGGAGCAGGAGTCTGAAAAGGAAGCAGAGGTGGGCCATAGCCTCTCTCTATCAGCCCATAGAGCAGGAGTGATGCCATGCAGGGGAAAGTTTTGCTCACATGCCAATACATAAGAACCAGCCCCAGGAGAGACTGTGTTTCTCTACTGAAATCTCTGGCACTTCACCATTTCCTATATTGGGAAGTGGCTTAAAAGTCCCAATTCTAGTCTTTGTTATGTTGTTTCTCCATTTCAGACTCGAGAATGCTGCGCAGGTTTCTTTGGTCAACAGTGCCAGCCCTGTCCAGGGAAAAGTGGAAATGCCTGCTTTGGAAATGGCATCTGCTTGGATGGTGTTAATGGCACAGGCATGTGTGAATGTGAAGAGGGGTTTAATGGAACAGCCTGTGAGAAATGTATTGAAGGCAAATATGGTCGCAACTGTGATCAAGGTACTTAATCCTCCAGATTATGCAGATATCTTCTCAAAGCTTGATAGTTTGAAAGGTGACAAGTCAAAAATCTCTGAAATTTATATGATTGAGCTCTCTCAACCCCTTGCCTCTGATATCTTCTCAGCCTTCTAGGCCTTAATTTTCTTCCCACTTATACTGGTGTAAATCAGGAATAACACCACTGAAATCACTCAAGCTACACCTGTGTAAAATGGTGTAAGAGAGAGGCAAATCAGCCTTTCTTTATATGCATACATGTTATATAAAATGTAGTGAGAAAGAGAGGGGGTATTTGCAAGTTCCCAGGGAAGACTAGACCCAATATAGCTAGCACCAAATGTTCAAAAATTGAGTAAAAAAAAAAAATGACTGTCTCTAAAAAATTGAGGGAGGTATTTGTGTTTGTTTGCTTGTTTCTTTGTTCATTCATGCTTGAGCGCTTAGGTTACATGCAAGACATTTTTTTTAGTTTTCTCTGTAGCCAGAAGAGTTGGAAAATTACTTTTTTTTTTTTTTTTTTAATCTTCAGAGGAATAGCCGAGTTAGTCTGTAACAGGAAAAACTTCAAAAACTAACAAAACATGTAGATGGGTTTTTTATTATTATTTTTAAATGAAAGCAGAGATTCAATCATGCTTCCATGATTACCTGGAACTGGGCCTTTATGGAAAGCACCAAATACCATGAGCATGAAATGAAGTTGTGAAGAGCTTACGCCATATAGTTTAGTTTAAAATTAAGAAGTTTGACCTTAAGCCTTTCCTTCAAAAACTAACAAAACATGTAGATGGGTTTTTTATTATTATTTTTAAATGAAAGCAGAGATTCAATCATGCTTCCATGATTACCTGGAACTGGGCCTTTATGGAAAGCACCAAATACCATGAGCATGAAATGAAGTTGTGAAGAGCTTACGCCATATAGTTTAGTTTAAAATTAAGAAGTTTGACCTTAAGCCTTTCAC